TTTCAGCCAGCCACTTCATTATTCCTACATGATGAGTATTCTCATCTGCAGAGAGTTTGCATGAGCTTTCAACAATAATGATGCCAGCAACAATGGAATTATTTTTCTTTGTTGTTGCAGCTGCACTAATGGAAAGATTGCCTCTAGCTGTCAGTTATGTGATGGCTACTGTTACAATGGTGGCACGTGCCAGCTGGACCCTGAGACAAATGTACCTGTGTGCCTGTGAGTATTTTATAACTTTGTGGGCATGTTATGATAGGACTTTGTGTGTACATGGAATCCCTGTTCTATTGATCGCCTTTCTTGGAGTAATATATTTTAAATGAGTGTGTCATTGACATCTCTGATCAAGTGTTGTCCCTCATTAGCTCACGTGCTACAAAATCTCCTTCATCAATTTCCTAATGATTTCATGAGTAAGAGCTCATTCAATTCTTAGCATCATACCATTTCAGACATTCATAGACTTTTGAACTTGGAATTGCCTGGGAAAATTGTTCTAATTTTATTGACCTTATTCAGATATGTGAAGCCCAGAGATAATCATCTTTTATGGACCCCTTGGTACTTATGGCCATCTTTTTAAAAGAGAACTTGTATTATCTTTCCAAATGTATAATGCTATTTGATGTTCGTATCAGGCTTAGACTGTTGTGTTATGTAAACCTGTTAAGATCCTGGCTCCTTTGGAACACATTAACTTCAGTCTGGGTTTCTAAACACTTAGGAAAAATACTGGATATTCTTAGTACTCCCAAGAAAATGTGAAATTTTGTATATTCTCCCTCTCAATTATCTGATTGTCCAGAGCGGACAACTTGAAATAAAGTCATTCAGCGTATGTGGTCACTCTTTTGAGTTTTGTTTCATCACTGTTTGACCAAAAGGATAATGTACACATATAATCCACATCTGTATCCCCTTTCCCACCCTGTCAGAGTAGCATGTGATGAGTGTGTTTGAGAGAGAAGTGAGCATACCTGGGAAGCTTTTCATTCAAATGTTGCTATCTCTGTATAAAATAAATTTGAAACATATTTGGCAAAAAAAAAAAAAAGTCAGACGCTTTATTTAGCTGTATTTTACTGAAATTCTGCAGATGCTCTGTGGGGTTTAAAAGTCAGCGCTGTGACCAGAAAGAGAACCCTTGTGATCACTACTGTCAGAATGAGGGGATTTGCACTTTAACTGCGTTTAATGAGCCGAGATGCAAGTAGGTTTAACCTTCCACTTACTGCTGCGCTTCATGTGACATCATTTCAGGCCACAGTTCATTGGTTTAAATCATGAACATCACATGCATTTCACAGTGTATACTTAATCTCAGGGCTCATCTGTGTCATACACACGTAACCTTTGCTTCGCTCACCGACAAGTGTGTGCACCACAGACTGCTAGAGTGTCTAGAAATATAACAGAGGCAATGAAAAAGCTCATAGAACTGTCTAATAAAAATACATTTACTGGAATAGTAGCTTTTGCTTAGAGAAGTACAGAAGCAGATGTTTTAAGACTATATTACTGCATGCTATATTTAGAATGGCGATTTTTATTTAGTAACTGACTTTCCATTTCAATCGCTGATGAAGTGCTACATTATTTTGTTTCCCAAAATTTTACTGAGAACTGCCTTTCTTTACAGATGAAATAAGTACATGCTAAAACATTTCCAAAACCTTTTTCCTTAATAGTTTAAGTCATTTATTCTTGATTCAATTTGTGGTGTTTTGAATTTCCATGCAAAGTAAATTCATATTTCCTCTGAGAAATTTCCAAGATCACCTTTGGGGTAACTATCAGCATTCATAACCATGGAAGTTATTTCTCCATTGTGCATTTGAGCTTTAGAGACGGAGCATATCTGGCATCCTCCTTAATACCTAATGTCATAATCAGCAGCCCTGATTGGAACCTAATAATAGCCATACTGGTGAGAGACTCAGAGTACTGACTAGTGGTTTTAAAGCACAATTGTATCGAAATTCAGATATTTTATTACCCAAACAGTACAATTTTGTTCGTAATGAGTTGCAGAGATTTGAGGCAGAAGCTAGAGCTGAATGAGCTTGGTTGTGAAAGTGGTGTTTGTTGGCATGTAGAAGAAAGCTGTGGAGATCAGCTGCAGACACCTCCCAGGAAAAGTTTTGGCAACGCTTCAGGTGAAAAGTCACAAGGGCGTGACCCCGGGCATTGTGACTGGAGGGAAGACTACAGGGAACAAAATGTTCACTGATGTTTCAGGATTAATACATTCAGGGTTATCTTGGCCAAAAATTGATCTAGATACTCACTTTAGTTCAGTTTTAGAACAACAGTAATGCCTGCTCTGGGGCCCAGTCTTCATTTGTCCTGCTCCTGTCTCACTCTCTGGGCAAAATACAGCATTGCAAGCCCACCTTGCTTTCTCCACACGAATAGGTCTCACAATGACTTCCTGTCCAGAGAATGCCCCTTTGTTACCCGAATAAAAATCTCTCATGGGCAGCCCACAGTTAGCAGTCTGCTTTTCACTCTTACCAAGTATGATCAGATTCATAAGATTTTAAAATGATAATTGGCCTGATAAACCCAGCCAGGAAATATACGTTAATTGGAGGGGTTTAGAGGAAACACCTTCTACTCCTGCGTACCTATGTCTCTATCTCTATCTGCATTTGGCTTTATGGATATCTTGTCTGTACTTGGTTTTATGTGCTCCAAAATCTATTCTGACAGTGAGGGTAATAAATACACAGTTAGCCCTCTGTATCTGTAGTTTCCGCATTCATGGATTCAACCAACCGTGGATCGAAAATATTCGAAAAAGAAAATTGTGTCTGTACTGAACATATGCATACTTTTTCTTACCACTATTCTCTAAGTAATATAGCATAACAACTATTTAGATAACATTTACGTTTTTTTAGGTATCATAAGTAATATAGAGATGATTTAAAGTATATGGGAAGATGTGTGTAGGTTATATGCAAATACTGTACCATCTTATATTAGGTACTCGAGCATCGAGGATTTTAGTATCCAAGGGAGGTTCTAGAACCAATCCTCTATGGGTATCTAGGGACAACAGTACCGCATTCCTCAAACACTTAAGCTGTATAAAAAGCATAGAAGAATTATGTTCTGTTATCATTCATTTATTAATTCATTTACCAAATATTTATTGATAATTGCTGATAAGTAATACCCTGTGTAAATTTGAGAGGAGAAATAATAACAGCTAAAACTAACTTAGCAAAGATCTGTGCCAAGCACTGTGTTAAACACTTTACGCATTTTACATGTAAAGTTAGACTATTGCATAATATTAATAATAATTTTTATTATTATCTAAGGTCACGCACTAGGAAGTGTTGGATGTCCGATACTCAGATCATGCCTTTTGGATCCTAAAGTCCATGCCCTGGTTATAACTCTTACGCTGTACTGCTCCCTTTATGCTGTAATAATCTCAATGTGGATTTTACATTTGAAAAACTCAAAATTCATTTTGGATAGAAGAATGGCTTTTATAAAATTTAAAATACTATCTGATAATTGTTATAATAGAAATATGACCAAAGAGCCGTGGGGAAAAGAATTGAATAGAGATCAATGAATGATTCCTAGTGGAGAGTGGAAGGCTTTATGAAGCCTATACATGTTCACAGTATTTTGGAAAAAATAATTTGTAATTTTACAGGGCAGAATGGTTGAAAATCTTTTTGGAAAAAGGGAATAGCACAGTCAAGGCAAATAGGTCTAAAAGTAAAAGGTGAAGGTTATTGAAAATAGAAAACAGGCTACGTGGCGCAACTGGAAAAGAGAAGACTAAAGAGATATCTTGGGGTTAGTTTACTAGGTACATTTTATGCCATGACACAAGAGTTAGTTTATGGAAAGAAGATTAGAGGATTAAGTTTGGAATTCAAGGAAATGCCAATGTTTTGATACCGTGTGAAAGAGGAATCAACATAATTAAATGAGAAGAAATATAAGTTGGGGAAGATTTATCAAAGAGTAGATTTCTTACAAGTCAAAGGAGTAAAATGTCAAAGAATATCAACGCCAGACAATTTTAAAAGGATAAGCATTATAAATGGTTTATTGGATTTTACAACTAAGTGGCTATTATGAAAGATGTTTTGAAAGCCCTATAGAGATAGAAACCAAACTATAGCTGTTTAATTAAAAAGTGAGAAAGTAGAGAAAAATGAAGATTCCTATCTGAATGTTTGGCTATGGATTAAATGAAGGATAACAATAAGTATGATCTAGAGGAAAACAGGTTTTATAACAAGGAAGACTAAAGTACTCAAGAGGGCTGTTTTTCACTATTTATTAAAGGCCCAGTGTTAGGGAATGTGACTGATAGAGAGATGGTTCAGA